CCCGCCAGGGACACGGTGGACCGCTTGTTCGCGAGGTACAGCGTCGCGCCGAAGTCGTCGACGACCTCGAAGACGGCGTCGGCGTCGAGCGCGGCGCCGGCGCCGTAGGCGACGACGCCCGCGGCGCCGACGCCCTCGAGCACCGCGTAGGTCGCCGGGTCGTCGGGGGGCGCGACGAAGGCGCCGAGGTGGAGGCCGGCGAGGACCTCGGCCCGCGTGACGGGGCGGCCGTCGCGCGCGGCGAAGACGGCGGCCTCGGCGACCGTGACGTTGCAGAGGCAGGTCTCGCCGCGGGCCTCGCAGCCCCCGGCGGCGCAGGAGCCGTCGTCGACCCGGGGGTAGGCGCCGCCGTCCCAGCGCGCGAGGACGGCGTTGCCCGAGTCGGGTTGGAGGTCCCACCCGGCCGCGCCCCCGTGCACGGCGGCGACGCGGCCGGCGGCGTCGACCTGGGCCAGGAGCGCGCAGGGCGCGTCGCGCCAGAAGGGCTGGTCGTTGCCGTAGTCGCAGCCGCCCGGGGTGCCCCAGCGATGGAAGCTCGCGGGGCCGCCGCAGATCGCGAGGGGCGCGGCGCCGTCGTCGTCGGAGCGCGTCGCCGCGCACCGCGCCGCGGCCGTCGCGAAGGTCGTCCGCTCGCCGGGGAAGGCGCAGGCCCGCGTGTTCGACCGCCCGTCGTCGGCGTCGCAGCACAGCACGCTCGCGCTCGCCGTCCGCGGGTCCGCGCACAGCGTCGCCGCCTGCGCGTACTGGCGGCCGCTCGACGACGGCGTGACGACGCGCGCGTCGGCGAAGTACGCGAGCTCGACGCAGGCGTCGGGGACGTAGCGGTAGTAGTAGCGCGTCCCGTTGGCGTCGCCGGCGTCCGCGAGCTGGACGAGGCGCGGCGCGTCGACGCCGCACTCGTCGCCGTCGCAGTCGAGGTCCGCGCTCAGGACGACGGACGACGGGAACGCGCACGCCGCCCCCGCGCCCCGCGCGCAGAGCGCCGCGTAGAGGGCCGACGTCGCCGGGTCGAGGACGAGGTGGTCCAGGTCCGCCCAGGCCGCCTCGTCGTTGCCGTCGTAGACCGGCGACGTGCCCTGGTAGACGAAGGACCCGAGGTTCTTGCGCAGGAAGGGCCGCGGCGGCGCGTCCGCGCAGAGCGGCGCGCGGTCGCCGAGGTAGCCGCCGTCGAGCGTCGCCTTGGAGAAGGGGTCCCGCTTCGCCGCGGCCACGGTCATCGGGTCGACGAAGTTCGCCTGCCAGTCCTCGTGGACGACCTCGATGTTCCGCCGGATCGGCCGCGACTCGAAGCCCGTCCAGACCCGCGAGTAGTCGAGGATGTGGTCCGTCCCGTAGGCCGGCGCGCCGGCGTCGGCGGCGCCGCCGTCGTCGAGGCCGTGGAGGCCGATGGTGAAGAGCTGCATGAGCTCGCGCGCGTAGTTCTCGTCCGGGTACGTGTGGCCGTCGAAGCGCGCGTTGCCGTGGAAGGTGAGGTAGCGGGCCATGAGGGGCGAGTAGGAGATCTCGCGCAGGACGTCCCGGAGGCTGCCGAAGGCGTGGCGCACGAAGATGTCGTAGAAGGCCGCGTGCGCCTCCGTCGACGCCGGCGCGACGTCGCCGTCGGACACGACGTAGACCTGGGCCAGGGCCCAGGCGCAGCGCTGGCGGAGCTGGTCCGCGGCGAAGAGGGCCGTCTCGTACCAGACGACCTGCTTGCCCGCGTTCGCGCTGCCGCTCGGGCCGTAGCCCAGCGTGACCTCGAGGCCGTCGCGGTCGTCCGGGTCGTCGCCCGAGCCGACGACCCCTTGTGGTCGAGCCACTTGGCGCGCGGGGTCGTTGGCGACCTCGCCCGGGGACCCGCAGGCCTCGAAGCCCTCGTCGGGGTACGTCGCGACGGCGCCGAAGGCCTCGCCGACGGCCACGGTCTGGAGCGTCGCGGGGAGCGACGTGAAGGGCACCGCGTCGCCGTATGTGCCGACGTAGGCGAGCCCGGCCTTGTTGTCGGCCCACCGGTCCATCGCGTGGCTCGCCGGGTAGGCGAGGACGAAGGGCGCCGCCGCGCCGCCCGCGAACTGCGCGATCGCGGCCGCGCCGCCCGGGTGCGCGGTCGTCCACGCGGAGAAGTCGTAGACGTTGCCGTGGTCGCCGTGCACCGACGCGTAGCAGGCGCCGTCGACGTCGACGACGGCGCCCGCGAGGCCCGCGCAGGCCGCGCCGCCGTCGGCGACGACGACGGCGTCGAGGAGCGCGGCGCCGCGCGCGGCCGCGGCCGCGGCCGCGCGGAGCGCGGCGGCCGCGAGGGCGGCCGCGGCGCCGTCGGCGGCCGCCGCGCCGCCGCCGCAGTCGACGGCGGCCCACCGCGACGTCGCGCCCGGCTCGCAGGGGTCCCGGTCGGCGGCGTCGTCGCCGCCGCCGTCCTCGCGGAACCGGAGGCCGTCGACGGCGTAGACGTAGGCGCCCGAGGCCTCGTGGATCGCGCGGAGCGCCGTCTCGTTGAGGACGACGTCGACGGCCGCGAAGGACGCGGCGCCGCAGCCGGGCGACCGCACGCACGTCGCCTCGTTGAGGAACGTCCGGGCCACGGACGGGCACCTGCGCGGGAAACCGACCGCTGGTTCGGGGCGTCCCGACCAAACTTCGGAACTCTCCGAGCTCGGTCACGTCGACGTCGATTCGGCCGAGTTTCGGACGGGTCGCGCGCTCTCGTCGAGCGCTCGACGGAGCGCCCGAAGCGCTCGAAGCCGTCGCGCGCGCTCGCGTCGAAGTCGGGTCGAAGATGCGGTGTCCGCGCGGACGCGCGCGCGCCGCCGGGCGTCGCGTTCCGCGCGGGCCGCGCGAGCGTGTTCTCGAGGGACCGGAGCCGGCGGTCGAAGGCGTAGTACGTCGCCGACGGCCCCGTGGCGTCGCGGAGGACGTAGAAGTCGAGGCCGTAGCGCGAGTAGGCCTCCGGCGGCGCGCAGGCCGACGGCACCGCCGCGAGGACCCGCGCGTCGCGGACGTGGGCGACGCCCGCGAGCTGCGCCGCGTCGTCGAGGTCCGCGACGAGCGTCGCCGGCGCCGCGGCGAAGGCGATGGCCGGGTTCGGGATCGTCGCGTCGCCCGAGCCGCAGGCGTCGGCGCGGGCGTTGAGCGCGACGTGTCCCCCGACGCGCTCCTCGGCCTCGCAGACGACGCAGGCGCCGCGCGGCGCCCCGGCGAGCGCCGGCGCGGCGTCGGACCGCGGCACGCCCGCGACGGCGAACGCGCCCGTCGCGTTGTCCGTGACGTTGAGGTCGCGGCCGACGTCGTCGGCGGACAGCGCGAAGCGCCGCCACCGCGACCCGACGTCGCAGGCGCCGTAGGGCTCGCCCGCCGTGATCTCGTCGTCGGGCGTCGCCTCGACCTGTGTGGAATTCAACCACTGGTTTGGGGCCCCCCCGCCAAACTTCAGAACTCTCTATCTCAATCAAATCGAAGTCGATTCGGCTGATTTTTGGACGAATCGATCGCTCTCGTCGAGTTCTCGAAGCACAGCGAAAGAGTCTGGTCCAAATCGTTCGATTACGCGCACATTGAAGTCGGGTTGAAGATTTGATTTCCACACAGGCCTCGACCGTCGCGCCCGCGACGGTGAAGTGCGGCGACGACCGCGCGCGGTAGTAGGCCCGGTGCAGCGTCGGCTCGAGGGCCATCTGCGCCGCGACCCACGCGGCCGGCGACGACCCGTGGGTCTCGGCGAAGGCGCCGATCTCCGCGCGCGTCGGCCCGAACGTCGCCCAGGAGAGGAACCGCGCCGCCGCGTCCTCGGCCTCGCGGCCCGCGCGCCGCGGCGCCTCGTAGCCGTCGAGCCGGTAGGCCGCCGCGGCCGCCGGGAGCCGCCGCCGCCGCCGCCGCCGCCGGCGCCGCGCCGCCGACGCCGCGGGGATGGCGACCTCGCACGCGTCGCCGGCGCAGGTCACGTTGCAGGGCGCGGGCAGCGTCCCCTCCCACGCGTGGCCGTCGTAGCTCCGCGCGCAGGGGGTCGCGGCGCCGTCCTCGACGCGCGAGACGACGAGGACGACGTCCGCCGCCGACGGCGGCACGCGCGCGACGCCCTCGGCGAGGTCGACGGGAGCCCCGGTCCACGCGACCTCGTACGCGCCTGAACGACCGGCGTCGATGGCGAGCGTCGACCGCCTCGACGCGAGCGTTCGTGGGCTCCGTGGAGCACTCGACGAGAGGACGCGACCTCTCGAACAATCAGCGGAAACGACTCGACCGAGCTCGGGAATTTCGAAGTTTCGCCGGCGCGTCCCGGAAAGGCGGTCGACCTCCGCGCGGGCGCGCGCCGGCCCGCGTCGGCGCGGCGGTCGGCGCGGGCGCGGGGACGGGCGTGGGCGCCCCGAAGGCGACGGGCGCCTTCGTCGGCCGCGGCGTCGGGCCGGCGCTGGGCCGCGCGGCCGTCGGCGGCGCCGTCGGCGGCGCCGTCGGCGCGGCCGCGGGCGCGGCCGTCGGCGCGGCCGTCGGCGGCGCCGTCGGCGCGGGCGTCGCCGTCGGCGCGGGCGTCGCCGTCGGCGCGCCGCTGGGGACGGCCGCCGCGGACGGGCCGCCGCGCGCGCCGCCGCCGCGCCGGATGCCGACCTCGTAGCCCGCGTAGATAGTCGCGGCCCACGCGAGGCCCACGAGGGCGCCGACCACAACCCGCGCGCGCCGGCGCCGGCGCGCGGCCTCGGAGCTCGAGCGCTCGCGCGGCGCCGCGGCGTCGACGTGCTTCGCGGGCGCCGTCGGGGCGTGGAAGGCGTGCATGGGATTCGTCATGCCCGCGTCGTCCGCCCCTTTTCCGCTCGGGAACTCCCGGAAGGCCTCCGAGGATCCCCGCACGTCGCTCGGCCGGGCCCAGCCCGCTTCCTGGTCGTGCGTCGCCATGGTCGGATCCGAGGAGGCCGCGGGATAAGCGGCTGCCTTCATAAATGGATGGCCGAAGAATGCACGGCACGAAGGGTTCAACGTGTTCATTTGTTTGCCGCGCAGCAGCCCCGAAGACGTCGCAGGTCAAGGCCCTCGAGATGGACGCCCTCGAGCGCTCGTTCCTGGCGGAGGCGCAGCGCCAGGTTGAGTCGGGTCGCAGCGTTGAAGCGCTCGTTCGTGTGCATTACGAGGGCGACGGCGTGCGCATCGAGGAGGATGCAGGTGGATATACGCGCCTGAGTTACGCAGCGCTCAAGGGCTGGTGCTCGGCCATCACGTGGCTCCTCGAGCAGGGCGCCGACGTCCACGCTGGCTGGCCCAGACGTGGTTGGACGCCACTGAACGGCGCCGCTTGTTACGGCCATTGTGATGCAGCGGTCCTCCTGCTCGGCGCGGACGCGCGAGTCGACGATCGCGACCGCTACGGAAACACCGCGCTCCACTGGGCTGCCTTCAAGGGACACACCGACATGAGCCAGCTCCTCCTGAGCCGCGGCGCGTCGCTCGACGCGCGCCGTATTAACGGCGACGAACCCGAGGCCCGCGCGCGACGCAACGGCCGCACGGCCACGGCCGACGTCCTCGCCGCGGTCCGCGCGGCGGGCGGCTGGCGCCCCTACTGCACCGCGCAGTTCCTAGAGCTCCGCCGCGAGCTCCGCGCGCCCGGCGCCGTCGCCGAGTTCAGCGAGCGCCTCTACGAGCGCGTCTTCGTCGAGCTCCCCAACGACGTCTTCCCCCGCGTCCTCGCCTTCCGCCCCGACTTCTAGGCCGCGCTCTTTAAGCGTCCCCGTCGTCACCCGCGGGGATGGGCGCGTAGGCCCGGCGGCGGCGGCGGCCCGCGGCCGCGACCGTCGCGAGCAGCCCGAGGAGCGTGCCGATGGCGACGACGAGCATGCCTCCTAGCTCTCTATGCCCCACTACCAGCGCCCTATGGCTTAGTTCTTAACGCACCCGACTTCGAACCCCACGAGCAGCGCGCTCTCGCAGCGCGGCCCCGTCGATCGAACGAGCGCGAAGCGCGAGGCGCGCCGCGAGCGAACGTTCGAAGCGCCGGCCGCGGTCCGCGAAAGTCTTCCTCCGAAAGGGTGGTGTTCGAAAACACCGGTGTGGTTGTGTGAGTGGGCGGCCCGGCGGGTCTTGGTCTTGGTGTCGAGGCGCCCGGGCTCAGCGGGAAGATTTACCCGCCGAAGCCGTAGAGCGTGCGGCCCTGGCGCTTGAGCGCGTAGACGACGTCCATGGCCGTGACCGTCTTGCGGCGGGCGTGCTCCGTGTACGTGACGGAGTCGCGGATGACGTTCTCGAGGAAGACCTTGAGGACGCCGCGGGTCTCCTCGTAGATGAGGCCGCTGATGCGCTTGACGCCGCCGCGGCGAGCCAGGCGGCGGATCGCGGGCTTCGTGATGCCCTGGATGTTGTCGCGCAACACCTTGCGGTGGCGCTTGGCGCCGCCCTTGCCGAGTCCCTTGCCTCCCTTTCCGCGTCCAGACATGATGTAGATGTGTTGATTGCTTGTGTT